TGCCAACAGCCATTCTGCAACCATGAGTGACAAACCCAAGATCAAAAACCAATATATTGAAGATGGCAAAGCAGAGAGAGAGCCTGTGCTGTTGAGGCCCCTTGTCAAATCCAGAATCGCCCACCTTCAAAACTTCTGTTTTATGATATAATTCAGTGTCTTTACTGTCTTGTCCCTATTGGTCAGGTATTTTATTACTACCACTGAAAGCATTCCTTACCTTCAACACCTATACTGCTGTGCCACTTGCTTCAAGAACACTTTACTCATATTTCCCATGTACATTCCCATGTGTTTGATCCAGAGGCATTTCCAACTCAGTTGGAAATTTTTATCTTATGTATAATTAACTTATATTTACTCTCAAATCCTTTTCTCAATACACACACACACACACACACACACAGGCCTACCATATGTTGCATGCTTCATAGACTCCTCTTGCATTTCCTATCTTTCTTAGTAACAGTACTCTTTAACTATTAGCCCAAACAATTGCCAGTCAACTTCAGATTGTATCTTTCCTTCACTCTCCACCAATTTCATCATTTATAATTTCTGTAATTTTTTTTTCTTTACTACTTCTCAAATTTGTCTTTTGCTCTTAACACTCATTAGAATGCCTCACTTTGAAACTTCATCTCCTGGCTGGACATTAACTGGTGTCTGTGTGACATCTGGACATATTAACCTGTCTTGATCTTATTTTCCTTACCTGTGAAATGGGGATTAAGAACCCTACAGCTGTCATGAGGACCAAAAGAGCTAATACATGTAAAGTAATTAGAATGTTCCCAGCACATAGTAAGTGTTCAGTAAACATTAGCTATTATTATTGCCTTCAATTTCTCCCATCTAATGTTTGTTTTGTTTTTTTACTCTGTAGGATGTTTTCTATTACCTAAAGCAAATTTTCACTAATCACCCCTGCCCAAATATTCTCTGCTTTAGTCAAACCAATTTACTGGTAATCCTAAATCAAGTTAGGTCCAAGTCACTCTCCTATATGGCTTCTCAACACTATCATTTACCACCTGCTCAGACCTTCCATTTCAAAACACCTGAAGACCTAATATGGTTCACAAGTTTCTCTCCTTCTAAGATCTTGTCATTTCCTTAGGTCTTCAAATGAGGACTAACACCCTAAGATCTGGATAATCTTTATTTTTACTCTCAGGAAGCCATTCATTTACACAGTTATACCCTTGACTCTTTATAAAGATGCTTACCCAAGGCTGCATCCCAGATCTGCTGAGTCAGAACTGCTGGGAGGGAAGTGTGGGGGTAAGGCTGCAACATTTGCATTTTAGTAAGTGCCTAAGCCACTGTATGCATACTGCCCTTTGACACAACTGAACTAGACTTTCTCGTCTCCCAGAGCTACTACACCTCTAAAATTTTGATTAAAACAAGGTTAATAACATCAAAAACTAATTATGTACTATATGTTGGCTAATTGAACATAATAAAAAAACGTTTAAAATATAAAACAAGGTTAACAGAGGCCTAATGTTACATTACAATGCCTCATATTCATCTTACTTATTTCATCATATAGGCATGTTATCATCTGATGTCATCACAAGAAAGGTGAGTAAAATACAATAAGGTATTTTGAGAGAGTGTACATTCACATAACTTTTATTACAGCATATTGTTATAATCATATAATAAAAATGTAGTATATGTAGGGTTTGGTTCTATCTGTGGTCTGAGACATCCACTGGGGGGGCCTTGGAATGCATTCCCTGTGGATAAGAGGGGACCGCTGCTTTTAGTTCTTCTTTGATTTTCTTCATCAGAGTTTTGTAGTTTTCCTTAGGTAGATCTCGTATATATTTCGTTAATTTTATACCTCAGTACTTCATTTTGGGCTGCTAATATAAATGGCATTACATTTTAAAATTACCAATTCCACTTGTTCATTGCTGGTATACATTGGTTCAAAGCAATTGACTTTTTAATATTAACCTTGTATCCTGAAGCCTTGCTTATAATCACTTAGTTTCAGGACTTTTTTGTAGATGCTTTTGGATTTTCTACACAAATGATCATGTCATCTGTGAACAAAGACGATTTTATCTTCTTTCTCAATCCGTAAAACTTTTTTTTCTTTTCTTACTGTATTATCAAGATCTTCCAGTACAATGTTGAAAAGGAATAGCGAGAGACAACATCCTTGCTTCGTACCTGATTTTGGTGAGAAGTCTTTAAGTTTCTCACCATTAACTATAATATTATCTGTAGGATGATCTTTATCAAGGTGAGAAAGTTCTCCTCTATTCCTAGTTTCCTGAGAGGATTTTATTATTATTATTATTATTATTATTATGAATGGGAATTGGATTTTGTCAAATATTTTTCATGCTTCTATTGACATGATCATGTGGTTTTTCTTGTTTCATCTGTCGATATGATGGGTTATATCAATTGGTTTTCAAATATTGTACCAGCTTGACATACTTGGGATAAATACCACTTGGTTGTGGCATATAATTCTTTTTAGGCTTTTTTGGGATTTGATTTGATTTTTTTGAGGATTTTTGCATCTATTTCATAAGAGATATTGGTTTACAGTTTTCTTGTAATGTCTTTGGTTTTGGTAGTAGGGTAATTCTGGCCTTATAGAATGAGTTAGGAAGTACTCCCTCTGTTTCTATCCTCCAAAAGAGATTGTAGAAAATTAGTATAATTTATTCCTTAAATGTTTGTTAGAATTTACCAGTGAACCCATCTAGATGTAGGAAGGTTATTAATTATTTATTCAGTTTTCACAAAAAATAGATGTAGGCCTGTTCATATCATTATTTCTTCTAATTGAGTTTTGGCAGATTGAATCTTTTAAGAAATTGCTCCAGATCCTATTTTTAAAGACATATATTCTAATTTATTAATGCTTTATAATCAAATTTATTAATATTTCAGCTTTCATCAAAAAGAGTTAGACTATTCTCAATGATAGACACACAGGCATCTGAGAATTTGTACTTTCAGTTCTCATTCACAGGTAGAAGTGAAAAGCCAACACAGAGACACAAAACTCCTTGGTTAGATCTCAAAGAGTTATTCTCCTTCCCAGTGGATGTAAAATACTTTCTTAATTGATTTGTGCCCACAAATAGATGAACAGAGAAACAAAGCAGGCTAACAGACCATATTCTCTGTCTGTCGCATTTCACCCAACAGAAAATTGATCCTCATCTTCATGAGAGAGATTACCAAAGGAGCAGGTGATAAAACCAGACTCTCGTTACAATAATTACTGCCAATAACGAGGAGTAAATCATCAGCCATGTGTGTCACAGACTCACATATACACAGGGTGCTCTCTTGACCAGCTTTGAAGTCCATTACGCACTACTTCCTGGGCCATGTTGTAGGCTAGAAGGTAGCCCAACCACTATTTTCCAATGACTTGGAAATATACTCAGGAGTATGACCAGCTTTGTACTGCAGCTGGCTTACAGGATTGTGCTTAGTAAACTTGGCGCTCGGTGACATCACACTGCTAGCTTATCATGGGCCATATCGGAAGTATTTGTACCACAAAAATCAGTAGACACTGGAAAATCAGCATCGGCCACCTCAAAGAACCAATTGTTAAAAATTTTCCAGCATACGGGGCACCTGGGTGGCTCAGTGGGTTAAAGCCTCTGCCTTCGGCTCAGGTCATGATCCCAGGGTCCTGGGATCGAGCCCCGCATCGGGCTCTCTGTTCCGTGGATAACCTGCTTCCTCCTCTCTCTCTCTCTGCCTGCCTCTCTGCCTGCTTGTGATCTCTCTCTGTCAAATAAATAAACAAAATCTTTAAAAAAAAAAAATTTCCAGCATACAGTTGTCCTTTACCCACTAGTTCCTGGACCCAGCAAAGAAGAGAAATGGCCCCAAATGCCAGTTACACAAGATGTGGACAGATTAACAGATTTGGCCAAGAAAAGAAAAAACAAATATACAGAATGGAAAGAAGAAAAGGAAACAGAGGAAGAGAGTCAGCAGAGGAAAATTCCACTGACACATGACTGCATTTAAGCAACCCATGTGGTGCAATTCTAAGGTAGTTCAATTAGTCCCAGCAAGTGACTCCACTTGGACGTCTCCGTGACCTCCCAAACTTTCCAAGTATAGATTGCAAAAGCTAATAACATGACTCCTGCACAAATATAGAATAAGCGTGAAGCAAAAAACTGATTTAATTCATGAATGAGGGAGCCAACATGAGAATAAAGCTGATTCAAAGAAGCATAGGAGAGACCGAAGTATTTTGTAGTCAGTGGAAGATGGCATGCAGAACCACAATGGCCAAGTTCTCTACAAACTGGACTCTGGGAAAGGAAAGAAGGAAAATATCCTTTCTGACATAGATCAAAATAATAAGAGGAAGGAGAAGGAGGAGGAAGAAGAAGGAGGAGGAGAAAGGAGGAGCGGAGGAGGAGGAGGGTGAGGGGGAAGAGGAGGAGGAGAAGGAAAGAGAGAGAAAGAAAGGAGGGAGAGAAGGAAGGAAGGAAGGAGGAAGAAAAAGAAAAATAGTTTAAAATGATGTGAATATTGATTGGGATATAATAAACAAAAATCAAGTCATAGTTATTTTTCTTCACAGATTTATCCGGTCTCTATTATGTAGATCTCTCTTATTAACAGTGATCAAGATTACAGTCAAAGTTGGATAGACCAGTGTTTATCAAACTTAGAGCTCATAGGATACATGAGCTTTAGGAATATGTTATTAAAACTTAAACATTGTCACCTCAGATGAATCTTGGACTAATTGGATCATAAATATGTACTTGAATGTGGGCAATGAAACTTATTATCTCCTCTGGCTACAAGATGACTTTCAGAAAAGTTAGGGGGTCGTGGGGAATACATATATCATTACAAAATGCCCACACATCCCAAGAGTTTGTACCCTGAGCAGAAACAGAGGGTCTAAACTGACCAACAGCTCCACGTGAATGAAAACTCCCAAGGAGGCCGTGCCCGCCCGACAGCGAGGGTTTCCAAAGATGACAGCGTGCTTGAAGTGTTGACACGAGAACCACCAAAACCAGCAGCACACGCCAGCGCAAAGGCTCTGGAGACTCGAAACCCAAGGTATCCTTTTTATTGCAAATATTTAATGATGCTCCCTTTACTGTCCTAAAATGAAACCCATACATGAGGTGATCTATCTACACACGTAATTTAAACAAACACACATGATAAAGAAAAGCCGAAGGGAAAGTAATTTATAATAAAATCAGTGTTTCCATATGTAAATGCACAGACACGACTCTTCAGAAAGGCACAGTGGAGCCAGATGCTCACACCTGCGTGTGGTTTCTGCACGAGTAGGACAGCTTCAAGCACAGACGGATCCTGAGCTGTGGACTGATCACTCAGAACCAAGCGTGTTACCTTTAAATGATGCATTTTTCACACCAGTGAACACCTCCTCCAAACTCCAAAGTTCAAAATTAAGGTACAACTTGTCCTCTATTTTACATGGCTATCGCATTTCAAAAAATTGTTTATTAAACTACGTGTGTGTGTGCATGCGCACACACACACACACACACACACACGCTTTAAATAGAGGTGTGTTTTTTTTTTTTTTAAGATTTATTCATTTATTTGAGAGAGAGAGAGAGCACAGGTGGGGAGCACAGAGGGGCAAAGGGAGAGGAAGAGGTAGGCTCCTCGCTGAGCAGGGAGCCCAAAATGGGACTCCATCCCAGGAGCCTGGGATCATGACCCAAGCTGAAAGCAGCTGCTTAACCAACTGAGCCACCTGTGTGCTCCTAAATAGAGCTTTAAAAAAAAACTATATATAGGGGCACCTGGGTGGCTCAGTGGGTTAAAGCCTCTGCCTTCAGCTCAGGTCATGATCCCAGGGTCCTGAGATCAAGCCCCACATCGGGCTCTCTGCTCGGCAGGGAGCCTGCTTCCTCTTCTCTCTCTGCCTGCCTCTGCCTACTTGTGATCTCTGTCTGTCAAATAAATAAAATCTTAAAAATAAAAACTATATATAATATTTATAATTATACATATAATCATACGTGTGTGTGTGTGTATGTGTGTATAATTTATTTATTTGAGAGAGAGAGAACAGCGGGAGGGGCAGAGGGAGAGGAAGGCTGAGAATCTCAAGCAGACTCCTCACTGAGTCTGGGCCTGACCTGGGACTTGATCTTAGGACTCTGAGATTATGACCTGAGACAAAATCAAGAGTCAGATACTTAATCAACTGAGCCACCCAGGCGCCCCTCAATAGAGCTTTTCCACGTTGGACTTTCAGTGTCAATGAGCAGTTAAAATTCGCTGTAGAAATGAAACAAGATGGGATCGGGAGGGAGACAAACCATAAGAGACTCTTAATCTCACAAAACAAACTGAGGGCTGCTGGGGAGTGGGGGGTAGGGATAGGGTGGCTGGGTTATGGACACTGGGGGGGTATGTGCTATGGTGAGTGTTGTGAATTTGTAAGACTGATGAATCACAGACCTGTACCCCTGGGGCAAATAATACATTATGTGTTAATAAAACAAATAAATAAATAAAATTCACTCTAGAAAGCTCGGAAGTTGGAATTCAGTTATCTTCCAACTTTATATTTCCTGAACTTGAGGAAATGGCTATGGAAAGCCATTTCCAGTCTTGAAACAAATCCTGTCTGTTAGATTAGCCCACAAAGCTGCAGTTCTTCAGAACTCAACAGACCCGTCTATACACCACCCATTTCCTGAGGCCGCCCCAGAGAGGTTTGTGAAGAATTTGAATTCATATTACTATCTATGCAGCCCACATGTGGCTGTTGAAATTTAAATTTAAGTTAATTAAAATAAGATAAAAAAATCAGGTCTTCAGTCCCACGATCCACATTTCAAGGGTCTCATGACCACATGTGGCTGGTGGCAACTGTCTTGAACAGAGCAAAATGCAGAACATTTCACCATCACAGAAAGTTCTCTTTGACAGTGCGGCATTTGATTACAAAAAGGATGCCTGGTATCAGAAAAATCTGGCTACTTACTTTCTGACACAGATGTGTATATAATATGAAAGTAGTTCTTATCTCCTGAAACTGAGGAGCAAATAGGAATTTGTATTGATTAAGACCTTGGGATTCCCTTCCAGAAGAAGATAATGTCCAGAACAATAATGGTAAACGGCTGTAATCTGTTATCTTGCTATTCACCAACTTTCTAAATTTCCCATAAACCCTCTCAGTAGTGACTTTAGAAAACACTAATGATGTGGGCCTTCTCTTGATGCAGACATTTTCCTACCATTTTGGAAAAAAGAAATGGCTCTTACACAGGATTCTGTTCTTGTGGAAGTACTTAGCTTAAAGGCCATCTCTTCCATGTAGAATTCCCTGATTTCATTTCCTCCTGTTACTCTCTTCCTTGGCAGCAGAGGAGGGAGGCTAAAAGAGCTGACACTGGAGCTAGACTGCCTGGTTTCAAATCCCAGATATACTATTTATGAGCTGTGTGACCCTGGGCAAGTTGCTTAACCTCTCTGTGCTTCAGCATCATCATTGGTAAAACAGCAATGATAATACTACCAATTTAGTTTTGTTTTGGAAATAATAGAAATAGAAAAAAAAGCAAAATTTTATTACTCAGCCTTTTCTTTCCATATATTTGCGATTAGAGCATGTATAATATGCTTTCGTTTACTTAAAACTTTGTTTTTAAACTTATAGAAAATTTTCATGCTACTCCCATTTTATCAGTTTTGGATGCCTCCCTTTTCCTCAGTTGTATTTGAGAGCTGATGGAAGACCGACTCCTCAGAACTCTCTGAAGCAGAAATGCCACTCCAGCTTTTCAAACTGCCAAAGGGAGCTTTATAAAGTCAACAAAATACTTTAAGCTTTGAGCTGCTTGTGAGTGAGATTCAACACAGACATTCCACTTGTCTGGATTTTCCATTTTGAGACTCACGTAAGTTAGAGAAATATGTAAGCTCTACCATTTGCTTTTGATTTTTTCCCTTATGCTTTTATTTATTGCCATATTTTTTTTAAATTAAGGGGTTTTGTAGATGTAGGACTTTGGTAGGACTTGCAGAAAATCTTACAGGAGGGTATTTTAAAGTCTGTAATTTATTTTAAAAAACTTCCAGTGCAGGAGCACCTGGGTGGCTCAGTCAATTAAGCATCCGACTTTTGATTTCAGCTCAGATCCTGATCTCACCGTGTGAGATTGACTCCCATGTTGGGCTCCATGCTGTGTGTGGAGGCTACTTGGGATTCTCTCTTCCTCTCCCTCTGCCCCACTCCCTCCCCCCAAAATCAAAACAAAACAGAACAGAATAAAACTTCAGTGTAGTTGGCTTAATATTATATACATGCCAATTTGTTTAAGTTGTATCTCCAGGGGTGATCAGTTGACGTGCTGTTTTGTGGGTACCCCACAGTGGTCATCAGCCCTGTCTGCAAAAGGCCAGGTTCTCTGCTATCCTCTCTCCTCCATCAACCAGGTCTTGGCAAATTAGCTTATTGAATGCCTTATGTGGGTTTTAGGGACACTTTCTAAATCAGTTCACAATCGGCGGTATGGTAGGCCATCCCCGGGGGTTCTTGTCTTTATGTACTCTTATCCTAAGTGTGGGCTCGATTTAGGGACTTGGTGCTAATGAATAAAGTTGGAAGAGATGGACCATCACTTCCAAAATTAGGTTTAAAAGACTAATGCTATTTTTGGCCTCTCTCTCTTCCTCTCAGGATGCGTGTGTGGGATTCTCTTTCTCTTGGATTGCTCACCCTGGGGAACGGCGACTGCCACGCTATGAGTCAACCCCATTCAGAGGCCCATGTGGAGAGGGATTGAGGCCTGTCAGTAATCAGGTGAGTGGTCTTGGAAGTAAAACTACCTAGTTTAAAGGTCCTAGATTCCTGACTCACAGAAACTATGAGATAATCAATGCTTACCAATCTGGGCCTCTAAACCCCGAGTGATTTGCTTCCCAGCCACAGATAACTGATAAAAATGTTTAAGACCTAGAGAAACTAAGGAAAACTACTATTGTGTCTGATATATTTTTGGCAATAAGATAACTAAGTTTCAGAATGCCTCTTAGGAGCGAGGCAGTCTTCTGTGTATTTTCCTATTTACTGGTACTGTTGTATGCTCAGATAAGGAAACTGTCATAGAGGGGTTAAGTCACTTGTCCAAGAGGCAGAGTTTCGAGAAGGCCCTAGGCAAACCAGGTACGGAGTTCCTGCTCTGTAGCGCTGTGCTGCATTGCCGGTCTTGGGGTTTACTTAGAGCGGAAGAACGAGCCAAGTGCAGTCAGAAGGCCTTGATGGGCAGGATGGTGAGAACATGAGCAAAACGAGAAGCTGAAAATGCTCACGAAAGGCTTAATTTGACCTTATTAAGCATAATCTACAGGAATGAAATTACCCACCCGACTCCCACTAAAAGCAACTAAGCAGACTCTGAGGAAATCGGCCTCTTTGGGCAGGAGGGTTGTTTTTCAAGAGAGGAAGAAAGCCCAAGTCATAGATACGATAGAGAGGGTCACCAGTGTTTCTTTGTGACCCTGTCTGTTTGTTCAAATAAATGAACGTTTCTATCTCAGCTGATTCACTCAGAAGCAAAGAATTTATCAACAGATTGACCCAAAGAGGCTCCCTCCAAGATAAAACAAAATATATTACTGTGATTTTTCACAAATGGTAATAAAGTCACAGGGTATTTTGCTTTCTTTTTCTTTTCCACAGTGCCCTCTCCGCACCTGTGTTTGGCATTTAGCATAACGTAAGGTGAGCAGGCGCCTGCAGGTGTCCACAGAACCTCAGACATACTTTGGGCTCATCTTGTCCTGGCAGAGATGCCAAGGAATCTGTGTGTGCCCTGTGAGCACCTTTCTTTCTTTCTTTCTTTTTTAAAGATTTTATTTGTTTATTTATTTATTTGACAGAGATAGATACAATGAGAGAAGGAACACAAATGGGGAGAAGAAGAAGGAGAAGTAAGCAAGCAGGGAGCCCACTGTGGGGGTGGATCCCAGGACCCCGGGATCATGACCTGAGCTGAAGGCAGACGCTTAACCACTGAGCCACCCAGGCGCCCCTGTGAGCCCCTTCTGACCCGATCAGTGAAAAGAATAAATCTCAGCACTCTGTGGTCATTGCTGATTTTAAAAAGAAAAAAAAAGAAGAAAAAAGCACCTGGTTGAGTGTCAGGAAATTTAGCCCAGTTTTGTCCCAGCAAGATATGGTAGACTATGGATGGACAAAGGGAGGAAACAGGTTTAATAAAGATGTCAGTAATGATGTCTTCCTCTTATGACCTGTTCAGAGCTGGCATATATTATAGTGGTCAGGATCATTCTACCTTTGTAACAGTTTCATACCTGCTCACTGATTTTCAAGAGCAGAATCTCTTGTCTGAGAATGGTATTTTTCCCTTAACATGTCAAAGCCAAATCTGTTGATTTAGGTAAGCAGAACATGCCCCGGTTTTACATTGAGTGTTTAATTTATTATTCAACTCTGTGTGCTAGTTACTTCATGAGTCGTTTTATGGGGGGAAAGTCATGGTGAATAAGTGATTCCATTTTGTATAACATAAAAACAAGAAAGTGAGTGCAATATTTATGTAACACAAACTTAACACTAATTCTTACCTGCCAGGCAGGAGAAATAAAACATGTTTGCCCTGCAAACAAAATAGGGCTCTAGTTCAAGTATTTATGATTGCACATTTGGGAGGAATGAAATAGCTTCTTCCATTTAAAAAGGTCTTCTGTGTGTTCTCTGGTTTTCTAGTGTATAATCTGGAAACCTGAACCACTCAAGGGCTTTTTTTTGGAAGGATACACAAGGCAGATACACAGAGCACCTAAGTCACTAAATGCCATCTGAGCCCTCCCTTTGGAAAAAGAAAATACACTCTGGGCTTACATAGTTACTAGAACACTCTCCCATAGCCCCTGACTGCCATGGCCGTACCCTTGGCCTTGTCATTACCAGTCACCTCAGCCCTGTCATATCTCAGGCTCTGGATTCTGTACTTGAGTGTCATCTAACTTTTGAGCTCATCCTTTCCAGCCCCCACCTTCACCATTCTCTGACCCCACCGGGATCTTCTACCCCCGATCCTCCTCCAGCTGCCTTGTCCCTCATGCCCATCCTTAGGTCCCTGTGTTTTCGCCCTACCTAGTTCAGTCTCCCTACCTAGTTCGTTGTTGCATCACTGATTTACAGCCCTCTCAACTCTGCTCACTCTTTCTCACATCTCATGTGGTACTTGTTAGATAAGTCACGACCCTCGTTGTGCTCCCCGAATGCAGTCTCTCGTGCTCTCTCCTAGGCTATTTTAGACTTTCTCCTCTCTCCTCAAAGAGGAGATACTCCCTCCTTTTTGGCTTTGCTGAGATCACTGAGGCAATCAGAAGAGAACATTCACCATCTCTCCTCTGTACCTGCCCATCTGTGTCTGTGCCCATATGTGGTGCCTTCCCTTGGCCTGTGGATGGGCTGCCTCTGCAGCCAGCTAAGCCCGAGTCCCCAGGACCTAGGTCTTATCCCCTGACACAGACTAAGGGACGGGTATGCCATTCCCAGCTTTGTCTTCTGCAGTCTCATTTTCCCCCTCTGGACTGGATCATTCCCATAAATGTGCAGATGTGCCGTTATTTCTCTCCCCTATAAAAAACAACAAAGCCCAAAGCTCCCTTGACTCTGTTTCTCCTGCTGGTGGTGTCCATTTCTTTTCTTCCTTTTATAGCAAACTCCTTTCTTTTTCGTTTCTTTTTCTTTTTTTGCCATCTTATTGATGTATAGTGAATATTACAAACACTTCACATATTTAATATTTACAATTTGATGAGTTTGGACACATGAATGTACCTGTGATACCATCACCATAATCAAGATAATAAACATATATATTACCTTCAAAAATTTCCTTATATCCCTTTTCTTTATTTTTTTTTTAAAGATTTTATTTGAGAAAGAGAGAGAAGGAGTGGTGGGCAGGGGAGTGTGTGGGCAGACCCTCTGAGCAAGGAGCCTGACGCAGGTCTCCATCCCAAGACCCTGGGATCATGACCTGAGCCGAAGGCAGAGGCTTAACTGAATGTACCATTCAGGTGCCCTCAAAGATTTTATTTTTAACACCCAATGTGGGGCTCAAACTCACAACCCTGAGGTCAAGAGTTGAAAGCTTAAGCAATTGAGCCACCCAGGGGTCCCTCCTTTTTTGGAGGGGGGTCATCAGAGTACTTTACATGAAGTCTACCCTCCAGTATTTTTTCTTTTTTTGCTCTTTCAGAAATTTCTTTTTTATTTATAGTTTATGTTCAATGCAGAGCAATTCTATAATGTGAGAAGTTACTATGAATCAAAGCGTAATTATACAAACACAATATATGATCCAAAATAGATGTACAGCCTTCAGGTGTGAAACAAAACAGAATGTTCATTCCCACACACAGTAACTTGACATCTGTTGGATATGGTTGTTCTGGTGTTGGTTCCTAAACATGGGAAAAAAGGACTTCGGTTATCAAGACTACTGTGGCTGTATTAAGAGATTAGAACATCTAAGCATCAGGGCATGACTATGCACACAAAAGTCCTTTTAGTGTTTTTTTAAAAAGCTTTCCATGCATCGAGGCAGTTGTGAAAAGATTTACTTTCCACAATCAAACAAACTTTAGACTTAGGACCAGGTTCTATCTAAAAATATTAACTAACAGGAAGTGTTCCAAATGTAGCTATTCTGATTCAGAGTTTTAAAAAGCATATATTTACAGAAAGAGCATAAAATTTTTTGGAATTTAATGTAAGCAAGCTTCCAGTCTTCACTCCAGAATACTTGATTTAAGATTTTGTTCCTGCACGTGTTTTGCCTTTATAATTTCAAGATTTGTCAATTTTACCTTTGTAAAAGATCATTTTTTTTTAATTGTAAAAA